GAAATACACACATTTCCTAACAAATAGAATTGCCAGTTGTAGGAAGAAACTGAAGAAGTTTTGCTTCTTTAACAGTGATGGTTCGCGGAGATGGTAAACACATCATATTTTAAAATAGGAATGACTCAGTAGTTTTGAAATAGATATAAAGGAGTTTTCTCTTTATTTCTTGTCCCAGATTGTTTGAAAGGGGCCTTTTGTTCATAATTTAGAAAAAGATAACAAAGTCTGTGTGTTTCTTGTCAACATACTAACAATGTGCAAACAAATGGGTGAGTTCTGAAAAACCATCTTCAGTAATTGTGTTAATGAGAGGTTCTTGGTAGAAGGAGATAAGATCATCATTATCAAACTTCCATTAGCAAGAAAGGCCAATGCTCATATAAGAGAACCTTGCCATGTTGTCCTATTATTTCAGAATTATCCATCACTTATATCAGCAGACTGAAAGCATTGTAGGATGGTGAATGCACTGGTTCTTTTAGAAAGATCATTTGATACCTTTCCTTGTTTGGTGAATCGTAAGGGCAGAATACTCCTCCTCTTTGAGAGACAAATTAGCCCTTTGAATAAATAGAATAGGGTTTCCTTAGTTGGGCTAGGATAGACAACATCATGAAGGAGAGTTTTATAGTTATCTGGCCAGAGGGTCAGAATCGATAGCTTTTCTTTTAACTTGAGGAAAGCATTATTTGAATCTCAACAGCTTCTGCAAAAGCACTTGATGTGGGAATTGAGGAACAAAATGAGCCTTGCTTGCTCATTAGCACGTCGTTGTCTGCAGCACTCAGTCAGCTCTGTTGTTTACAGCAATGTTATAATGAATGCTTGAATACACTAAACGGTTTGGTTGTGGTTTTAGGTGCCCAGAGTTTCTTTATACCAGATTTGCAAGTGAGGATTATGTAAACTTCCCCATCTCCAGTTTCTAAACATTTCATATGTCCAACTAGAATAACAGTATATGTTATATGCATTTTTATACCTGTAAGAGCCTAAGAAGAAAATACTGGTAGAACTGGTGATTGTAAAGATGTATTTCTGCTCCCATTTTGTCAGTAAAAGTCAGATGGATTTTCAGACTGTGTGAAAAATAGGAACTCAAGATGTCTCTCCAATATGCCTGTATTTAAAGTTGCTGTTCTTTCTTCTTGTTTTTGTAGACCTGCTGTAGGGTATCACATTGTCACAGATAAAGGATTTAACTTTTCAACAACAGATGATGCCTTTGTGTGCCAGAAAAAGAATCATTTCCAAATCACTGTCCATATTAAAATCACTGGACACCCAAAATATGTCAAAACTCAGCTAGGGGGGCAACCAATAGAAAAGTTTTACTTGAAGGCTTTTGGAATAAAGGCAAGTATTTCTCCTCTTTGTGGCTATTACTTTTAGTAAGTCACTATGTGATTATCCATAGAATGGGATAAATAATTGAAATGAACTCTTTTTTAAAAGTAATTTTTGATGAACTGTCAAAAGAGAACTCTTAAGTTACTAGTGACTTCTGTGTGGAACTCTTCTGCAAAAAATTAATGTTTTATGGATACTTGTGCTGATGTATAGATACCTGCTGACAGATGTATTGTTTGCCTATTTGCCATGGTTTCATTGACTTCCCTTTGTTTGGTGGAAATTTTGTTCCCTCTGTGTGCAGTGCAGGGGTGTCAGCTGCTGTGAATGTGGCCAGTCTACCCATTGGTCAAAAAGATGCGTTGAAAAAACAATTCACAAAGCAAAGAAAGTGTAAAGAGTAAAATCTGGTTTTCCTGGACAGCTCATGTGTAGAAAACAAATTTTCCTTATTTCTTCTTGCCAAGGTTCCCATTTTCATTTTAAGAAACAAATTCTTCCCAGGCACTGTGGGTCCACAAGCTTGCATATGCAAAAGCAGTAAGAAATTTTAATCTTTCTGAAAGATTTTACCACATTTTTTTTTTTTGCTACCAACATTCAGCGATTTATAAAAATATGTAACTGTTTTATAAGATAATTACTACCAGTTTCCTTAATACATTCTAATACCAATTAGTGATTATTGCTGTTGTCTGTTCCCATCTGAAGGGCTGCTTGGTACCGTTCAAAAAATGTACAGAAATTTACATGAAAATAAGTTATGGAACTGCCTTGCATAGGTTCAGTTCTCATGTTAAATATCTACATTTATATTGTGTGATTAAAGGAGCCAAACCCAGCCTGGATTCAGAACATTATTTTTATTTTGCAAATTATTGCATTACTTTTTTTTTTTTTTTTTCTTCTTCTTCTTTCAATTTACATCTACAGAAAGATTTGGGTCTTAAGACTGTCAGGTGTCAGTTGGTCAGGAGTCAATTCCTGTGTTAATTTCTGTGTAGTTCCATGAGAAATGAGAGAGATTTCACTGTTTCAGACAAATTTGCCTATTCATTTGTATTTCACATTTTTCTGTGTTGGAAAATGTAATATTTGTGTCATTTTTGAAAATTATTTTTTCTTTACAGGTAGAAGCCCCAAATCAAACAATTGCTATTGAACAGTCTCAGTCAGATCGAAGCAAAAAAACTTTCCACCCTGTTAAGTAAGAATTTTGAAAAAATTATTCCATTTTGTTTCAATAGTTGATTGGCCTGAAATGTGAAGTTGTTGTTTCTTGGACACCTACATTAGCCAGTTTTCTGATCTTTATCCAAATTCCATTCTGTGTGTGCACATAGAATCACAGTAGTAATATAGACCTGGTCTTCCTTAATTAAGGAAAATTTTCAGCAGCTTTACAAATGTGTTAAGTATGCCTATCCAAAATATTTATATTCAGGAAGCAGAACTGCTCTGTGGTGTTTAGAGCTGTATGGCAGATGCATTTCCCACCTTAAAAAATGTCAGTGATGTTCCTGTTCTACATGGGCATGAGATGTATTTGCAGTGACTTCATGGGGGGGGAGCCTCTGCTAGAAACATTAAGAGCAGTTTCTCCCTGGAACTCTCTGCCAGTGTTTGTTCTTCTGGCACAAGTATCTTCTGTTGGAGCTGCTCTGTTCTCTATAAATAATTGAATATTTGAAAAAGAAAAAGATAAGGCAGTGTCAAGTTTGACAGGACAGTGCTGGGATAAAGACTGCAATATGTAACCTCTCAAACTGTACTTTGAGCTTGGGAGAAGATCTCAGTTTTCACTAAACTACTTCTATCATGTCATTTTTCTTCCTTTTGCATACTGACAAATGGATTCTGGGTGTATGTGAGCTGTTTTGTGGGTGACTGTTTGGTGGACTCTGGTTTTCTCCACGCAAACTCTTTGTTCATATTATTTATTGCTTACAGGAGCAGTGCCATGATGTATTGAAGAAACAGGTGTATATTTCATACTTCCAGGCATATAAATCAGGTGCAGGTGAAAAAAAGAACAAGCAGTAAAATTTCCTTGTTTTAATGCAGAAATTCAGAACCAAGAACAAGCTGTGTTTAACCTTGGCAAGCAGCAAATATCCATCGTATAGACCATATGTGGTTTTATTGTGTTCAAGACCATGTACAGACAAAGAAACACATGACTCCTGTTACTAATAACAGTTTCCCACTGCTGGTGCTTTATCCTGTTTATCTCCTTGATATAGTCACTGTGGTTTTAATGCATTTTTATAAACCACAGTTACGTTTTTACTGGGGTTCCTCTGTTGTTTTTTTTTCATTTGTCAGCTTTTCTCAGAACTGTTTTAATGAGTTTGAGGAAATCTGGCTTGCGCCATTTGGCTCTCCAAATGCTTATTTCCCTGGTGTTGTTTCCTTTTCTGTTTTAGAGTTGATCTGCCGGGGGACCAGATAACTAAAGTAACACTGGGAAGACTGCACTTCAGTGAAACAACGGCAAATAATATGAGAAAAAAGGGAAAACCTAATCCTGACCAGAGGTATTGCTGTAGCTGGTTTACCTGAGTGTATGAAGTGGTAAAGAGAAGGTTTGTTTTAGAATAGAACTGACGTTTGTGAAAAATCTCAGCATTGCCAAATCTGTGATTTTATTTAAAATTCTGAGACTCTTGGTATTTGCTTAAAGACCTCTCTTCTACAGTCAGAGAATGCTGTGGGAATAGAGGAAAATACCTCATCCTCATGGTTAGAGATTGTTTCAGGAAATCGGAGCCAGAATGATGGCTGACAAAATCAGGAAGCCAAAGAACTAAATAATGATAATTTTCTTCTGAGGAAGAAAGAGTCTTCATCTTTGAGTCTTCATTGCTTACATTTGTCAAAACTACCATAATATTTGTTCATTTTCAGTGATTGTGAGAACTGAAAGAGCGTGTTACTTGAGAGTGAAGGAAATACTTTTTCTTTCATATTGTAGCATAAATACATTTAAAAAACATTCTGGCTGTCTTTTTATGTATCGATCGTAGCAGTTCTATTGAAAATATATATTTTTTTCTGTGATAAGACATTACTTCAATTCTTGTCTTGATTAAATACATTTCAATTTAGATACTTCATGCTGGTAGTTGGACTGTATGCTGTCTCTCAGGATCAGCTCTACCTACTGTCTGCAAATGTGTCTGAAAAGATCATTGTAAGGGTAGGTAGAAATTTATATTGCCTTAATCTGAAAAGTATGTACTGTTTTAATATTTCCAGGAGACAATGGGGGGTGGTGATTCTTGGGCATAAAAATTACCATTGACCCAAATTTTGAGGGAAATAAAATAGTTCACATTTGCATATTCTATTAATATGTTCTTATCTTTTAATCATCAGGATTTTAAGATGTTTAAAGTAGAGCCATAGAAGGGATTAAAAAGAAAGTTTGTTGTGAATTCCAGTACAAAATACATTAATTTTTCCAGATTTTAGGTATAATAGTTTCCTACACTTGCTGGGAATTTGGTGCATGCTTCTTTGGCTAGATGATTAATTTTTAAAGGAAGATTAAAAGGAAAAAAGAGCAAGAAAAGAAAGTCAAACAGCTCTTCGAAGACTAAAACCCATAGCTGCTTCTTTCCAGTGTGTTTTCAGTGTGTCCTAGGTCTTAATTTTGTCATTGTAATATAGAGTTCAAAATGGGAAAAAGAATTGGTCTCTCTTCTTCATGACCATTACTTTTTAGTCCCCTGATCCACATAAAGTTTTCATATTAGTGTTCAGCTTTAGCCTACAGTTAAACTTTGAAGAGACTTGAAAGAGAGAAAAACCCTATTTTAAAGGGGGCTATAGAGGGCTAGGGCTAGGAGAGAGAGAAATTGTGGAGGACCAGCACGAGTAGGGTTGCAAGGGGGCTGCCAGGGGAAGGTGAGGGCTGCCAAACATTTGTGGCCCTGCCCCCTTTTTAGTGTGGCCAGTACCTGGTGGTTAACATTGAACTGGGCATAGCATAGGGTCATGGTTATTTTGGGCGAAGATTATGTGTAGGGCTTAGAAAGATGGAAAATGCATAGGTGCCATGTTGTGGGGCTGCAGAGGGTGGTGAGGGACTCCAGAAGATTGCAGTCCAGTGAACTTTTTTGTGTGAGCCAATCGAGAAACTTCTTGTTCACACAGAGCCTTTCTAGTCCTTGGTTTATGGTGAGGAATAGTCTTGTCGTTTTGTTTCAGAGTCAAATCAGATCAAGAGCTCTAGTGTAAGAAGTGGGGCTGGGAAGGGGCTCCTGATGAAAAGCCTATGTGAGTGCTTTCAATAGCTCTTAGTCCTGGCATCATTCTTTGTAGGCCATCACTTGGGTTCTTTTTGGTGGCACTTTGTCTGCCTGGGCTTATGATTACAGATGAGCATTTGGGTTTGGAGACAGCAAAAGCACAAACCTCTAATGTGTGTGGTGTTGCACAGGGGCTGCCAAAGGAAGATGAGGGCTTTCAGATGGTTTCAGTCCTGGCTTCTTTTTCATCTGGCCATAACTTCGTGTCCTCTTCTGTCATAAACCCTCTTTGTATTGTATTTGTATCAGTCCTGCATATTTAGTTTTCTTCCTGTTTCATTCCTTATTTTGCACAATACTGCTTTCATCTGAACGTCTCTTTCTGCATCTAGTGGTGCTACAAGTACAGTCTCTTCACTAATTTAGGAAAGCCATGGAATTTTCACATTTGGTTTATCCTTGGGATTATTGTTACATTATGAGATACCTATTTTTGTGCAAAATTTCAAAGTTAACATTTAAATGTTAGATTCTTTTGAAATTTCAATGAAGAGAGCTCCTTCAATGTGTGTGAGGCAGTTTTTAAATTAAGAGTGCAGGGAATGAGACTTTGCAAACCTGGCCACTATTCCGTACAGAAAGAGAAGGCAGAAAAGCAGAAGGATTAAAAGTCTGTGATTTGAAGTGGTGAAAATGTTAACAGAAAAGCTGGAAAGAAAAAAAAAAAAAAAGTCCTTTCCCAGGTGTGTGACAGGGCAGGCAGGGTACAGGGAGCCAGCCTCTGGCTGGACACCTTAGAGTGGCAAAGCTGTGCAAATGCACTGCAAGAGAGAGCAGCTCAAGTCCTGGCCCCTTATTTGCTCAAACATCAGAAACAAAACTACCAGCTGAGCAGTGGCTGTCGTGCACATCAGATCATGCTCTAATTGTGACAGTGATAAGTGCACAGCACCATGCACGGTAGATGGCAAAGCCTTGTGAAAACCTTGCTTCTTTAAATGAACCCAAGCTTACTCTTGTGATCATACCTTTGTTCAGACTAACATTTTTAAATCTGAATTCAAAGCTTTTTTTAAAAAAAAAAAACAAAGAAAATTACTGAAACAAAAAGCTTTTTCTGATTATACACACTCCATTGGTTTTTTGATGTTCTTTGAATGATCCTGTTTTCTTAACAGGAAGTTTCTAACATGACTTAATTTTTAACATTACAGAGGGTTTTAAAGAATTTATGAATGTGTTTGTTTTGTGTTCCATCAGTGAAACTGACATTTGGTTAACTAAATAGTAGTAATTATTTGTTTTCCCAAATGGTCACCTCTGCAGCAACTGCTCTTTTTAGACTTCGTAGGTCACTGGAACCTAGCAAACAGATTTTGAATATGCTTTATACTTCAAGTATTTCAGTTGCTGCATAAAAGCAGAATTCATTTGGTAGCTGTGACTTGCAGAAATTGCTATTACAAAGTGAGCTTGTTCTTGCCCATTTCACTGAGCATTGTTCTCTATCATTCCAAAACTGCAAAGAAGTGAAAAGATTTCATTACTCTCTTTTGGTTTTGAAGCATATTAGTAAGACTTAAGCTCCTCAGAATGCCCAAAGATTTTTGATTCAATGATTTATTTTTTTTATATGTTTTGTTGTGGGAAGGCCCACAGAGAGACAAGTGTTTCCTTGGTCATAGTTTGTTGGACATTTCATTTTGGTGCAGCACTGAATCAACAAAGCTTGATTAATTTCTGCTGCTATCAGGCTTCTTGCTCCTGTTCCCCCACTCCTCTGCCATACTAGTGCAACTGTTTTTCCTGGGCCCTGCAATGAAGAGGAATGGAGATTGATCTGTGTTAAAAATAAATCTGATTTTTGCTCTTGGTTAATTTTTAGTCAGGCTGGTTCCTCCATAGTCTCTTATGTTGGTGGATTGGTAGCACTGAGGGCTGGCAGGTGAAGATGGGATGATGTGGGCTGCCTACACTGATTCTGCTGCCAGAAGTAGTCTACATTAAGCCATGGCCACTGGGGCACAGTTTAGATGCCTTTCCTGCCCTTGAGTCACAGTTCTCCTTTCCTTCATCTGTACTGAGATGGTTGGCTGTCTGACACTGCTGCAAAATGATTGCAGGAAATAGAATGGGCCTGAAAAGTGAATCTCAGCCCTAAAAACCCCAACCTCCTCCATTGTAATGGCTCTCCAGCAGATGTTTTAATGGTTGTGAAAAAGGGAATGTGTGTGGAGGCAGTCTCACTATCTCTTCATGCCTCCTCTCCAGCTCCTTGTTTTAATACTTGTGTTGTGGAGCCTTGCTCCATTGTACTAGGTACTGTGTAAATAGAATACTTGTTTGAAAGACTTCTGTCTAGATATCTGCAATATTTGCCATTTATAGTTTGAAGCATTTACTTTAGGAGAACAGGACCTGTGAATGCAAGCCAAAATCACCTCTGATCTGTTCAGCACAGGCTTTCAATGCAAGCTGGAAAAGTTAGTGAAACAGAATGTAAAAGAAAAAACTGGTATTGTCAAAGCAAATAAAAAAATAATTTAGACCACATGTATTTAATCTCTGCCTTGTTTCTTCTTTTCTGATTTCCAGCCTCAGCTAAAATGTGCTGTTAAATAAATGGTTATGTGGCATAATGTCAAAGCTAAAATCTGGAAAGCTTTGGTCATTGATAATTTGACTTAAAGTGATAATAAAATAGAGTTCAAGGGGAAAAGCCATGAGGCCAATGCTGTATGAGCAGAAACAGTTACTTAGAAGTGATTCCACTTTTTTTTTTCTGTTGGTGTGTTAGAAAAGCTATTGAATACAATTTAAATATTAAAGGTTGGGCATTTCATTTTCCCTGAATTCTTAATGGAATAAGCAATGGTACATCTATGCTATACTATATCTCTTAACAGATTTATTTTCTTCCAGGCATCTAACCCAGGGCAGTTTGAGAATGACAGTGATGTACTGTGGCAGCGAGGACACGTTCCAGAGACGACAGTCTATCATGGTCGAGTAGGAATTAACACAGATGCACCAGATGAAGCACTGGTTGTCTGTGGAAATGCAAAAGTTATGGGCAGAGTCATGCATCCATCTGACAGCCGAGCAAAACAGAATATCCGGGAGGTGAGGGCTGGGGAGTATTGAGGGCATTTATGTTTGCACCACAGCACATGAGTGGATCATTGTTATGACACATTAGGCAGCTTCTTTATCCTGGTTGTGCTGAAATGCCGGCCTAAAGAAATCAGATGTGCTCTGTGGAACCATTGCCTCTGGACTTTGAAAGAGTCTGACCACAGAAGCTGGGGATATCTGTGTGAATGGGAGTTGTCAGACTGCAGGGTAACTGGCAATGCAAACACAAATAGCACTTTGCTAATGGGAAATAGGAAGATTGTCCATGTTTTCTAATGTGAAGATTGGCCAAGTGGCTGTGAGAGGCTTCATGCTGTTTCAGTGAAGTCCTAGTTTCCATGGGCATTCTTAATGTTTCAACGTGTGACTCTTGTATTTGTCCAACTAGGTCGATACAAATGAGCAGTTGAGAAGAATAACACAGATGAGGCTGGTGGAGTATGACTACAAGCCTGAATTTGCATCTGTTATGGGAATAAAAAATACCCATGAAACAGGTATTCAGTCAGTTCTGTTCCTGGTTTTCAGTATATTCCACTGTTGCTCATTGTGCCATAGTGCCTTTTAGCACCCTGCTGTTTCATCCTCATTTCTTGGGATACTACAATTGCACACTTTGCTATGTTTCACTTCTGATATAAAAATGCCAAAATTAAGTATTTATGGTCATTTTTCAACTTCTGTTTCAATTTTTGGGGCTAGGATGCTATTTTTCCAGAGGTTTAATGAAAATGAAGTGTGCAATCACAAATAATTTTGTTCAATTGCAGAGAAATGGTAGTTCTAAAGCTTTATGATTGTTTTCTGTAGAATGAGAAAAAAATAAATAAATAAGTGAAATCCTGAATTTTTCCTACTACAGAGAAATTCTAGGTCATGTTTGGCTCTACCGTTAGCTTTTAGGGTGGGAAAGTCAAACACACAATCCTGAACAATGGTATGCTGCTGTGTTTCCTGACTTTAGTTTCTGTTATCTTGCTAACAGGAATAATAGCCCAGGAAGTGAAGGAGCTTTTACCTGAAGCTGTTAGAGAAGTTGGAGATGTTTCTTGTGATGATGGAGAAAAAATAGAAAACTTCCTGATGGTTGACAAGGTGTGGTCTTGAGAAAGAAAGTGGAGATTTGTGTTTAGACTGTTCCTTTTGTATATGGAGCTATAAACATACACTGTGCTTTAGGCCTGCACATATGGTTACAAAAATAGTGATTGGCAAATCACTGAGAAACACTGAACTACCAGATGTTACTAAATGGTGAAGTCTTTTAATGACAAAAAGTATTTACGTTAAAATCTTGTTGTAATAATAAACATATGATAAAAAAGAAAAGGGAAAAAGATTTGCTGAACAAAGGTGAGTAGTGATTTCATAGCATTGGTCCAACAAGAGGGACTTCAAAACTTTCTTTTGTGTTTAGGTGTCAATTAAGTGTTCCAGAAGTGAATTAAGCAATGATGGCATTCTGTTTGTTAAATAAAAGCTTCCTTACTCTAATCCTAGTGTAATCACTTCATACCAAATGCAAATGCTAACTCTGTGTGCTCTCTGGAAGGTTATTTTGACCATCTGAAATCATTATTATAGATTCAAAATCATATACTATAAAATGTTTATGGAACACAAAGTAATTACCATGCTCATAGGTTGGAAACAATATCTTAGTCTGTTATCCTGTCCTCTTTTCCTTTCCTTTTCCTGTAGAAATAGGACTGCAAGGGACTGTCAGTCACTGAGTCCAGTCATATATGACTGCAGACTGTTTGTCTAGAACACTGGTCAGAGCAGACCCTCTCTTGTTCATTGGTTCACTGCAGATCAAGAACCACTTCCCAGCTTTTTCACTCTTACAGCTGATAATGGGAAGAGGGATGTTTTAAAGATTGGTAATTTTGATTGTTTGGATGATGTCATGAGAATGATTTTGTATTCATTATAATAATGCCTTCTGTCATTATGCTATAGAAAACACAAGTTTACACCACCAAACTTTGAGAAAACATCTATTTAAAACACTGCATTTCCATTGTTTTCTTTTGATAGGCTACAAGTAAGTTAAATTCATAGGCATAAATCTGCTAGGCTGTTTTCCAAAAGAAGGAAGTATGAATTGGACACCTTGAATAAAGATGTGGAAAGAGCACTTCCTAGAGATAGTATTGAAAAGGAGACTTTTAGAAAATTTGCTCAGGGTTCCAGCCTGTAGCTGTTTTCTCAATGTTCATGGAAGAGCAGTGGTGTTAGATGGTGACACTGGATTCATTTTACCCTTTAGCCCTTCCTGTTACTGTGTGTGTTGGCTGCAGCATCATTTGCATTTTTGAGCCACTCACAAAACTGCCTTGAGGTAGTCAGTTTTTTTTTTCTGGCAAAACTTTTAGGATGGACAACTAAGTTTTTGATGTAGTGGAAAATGTGCTATAAAATGTACCTAATGGAAATATCTCTCTTTGCTGAAATATCACACAAAATACTGTGTAACAGTGCCTGCTGCAGCAGTGTTAAGGTTTAAAATTCAACATTATGAAGGTAAAATATAGTTTAAAATCTTGGCCTATGAAGCCCTTTAGCTTCTCAAATTTTTCTTCAAGTCTCATTTTCAATTTATTCCAAATTAAGGATAAACAATTCTTACAATCTAGCAAAAGTGTTTTATAGTCATATCTGTATCCTATTTACAGTGAGATAACTTGTGTTTACACTTTCAATAGTCACATAGGTGATTTCTATACTCCTTACTGCTTGTTACATCTGATTGATTAATATATTGTATCTATTTTTGTCATTGTTTTACCTCTCAGGATCAGATCTTTATGGAGAATGTTGGTGCTGTAAAGCAGCTTTGTAAATTAACCAACAATCTTGAAGTCAGAATAGAAGAATTGGAACAGTGGAATAAGAAACTGGCCAGGCTGAAACGGATGAGCAGTTTAAAGTCAACAGGCAGTGAAGAGAGCAAAGTCAGGTACCTCCATGTGGGCTGTTTTCTGATATTTGTCACAAAAATTAGTAAAGTGGTCCTTGTAGTAGAAGTGAAAACCAATTTTGCTTGACAGCTGAGTTCAGCTCATTTCCAGCATTTAATGTCTCATATGTTCTAACTCACTGGCAAAATTAATATTTGAAATGGTTATTAAATTGCAGTTGTTTTTTTAATTGCTTCAGTTGCATAAAGCAGGGATAGATTATGTCCAGTTATAGCCCTGGAGCTTTTTTGCCCCCGCCCCCCCC